CCAAATGATGACTTCTTTACCTTTCTGGAAACTAGACACGAAGGGCTACAACTTCATTTTTGAATCATCTCGAAATTCCTTGTAGATCAAAAGATATAGGCTTCCGAAGTTGGACCAGCGGATCTGCAGAACTCCCTGAAGAGTGCGGCAACAACAGAATTGTGCGGTCCGCACCCCTCCTCTGTGGTCCGCACTTTCAAAGCACCAGAACAATATTAGAGTGCCGGAAATGTCCGGACTCGCTCGAAGCTCACCCGAGGCCTCTGGGACCTCAACCAAAGGTACCATCAAGTCCTAAGATACCATACAAACTCAATCGAGCTCTCAAATCACGTCAAACAATAACAAAAACATTACTCGTGCACCAATTCAAGCTTAATGAACTTGAAACCTCAAACTTCAACAACCGATGCCGAAACCTATCAGATCACGTCCGAATGACCTCAAATTTTACACACACACGTCACAAATGCCGAGCACACATCTGTTGATCTTGCCCCCTTAGCCCCGGAAGAATAAACCCTGGTCGAAGCACGATCGCTCGGAGGAGCCACCTTTTCAGAACCAGAAACCTCGGGTGCAGCAGGCTCGGGCGATATTTCCGTCTCAAAGGCCCGGCCCCATTTCGCCTTGCCATGAGCGCCATCGCCTTGCAAGTACATTTCCAGCTTATTGTTGCCGCCCTCTGGCTCGGAAGCTGGCAACCCCTCCTCCTCTCCGGAGGAGCACAACCTCGCCTTTGGAGGCTCTCCGATATCTACGACAGCAAGATTAATACATGAAAAGGGAAAAGTGTCTCTCCAAATGAACAAGGAACAAGGAAAGTGCAGTATATACGCGCACCGTGATGTTTTGCTTCCCATCTGCCCTGGGACGCAGCTCGCCATCTACGCTTGTCGCAAGTCGAGGGGTCGCCAGCTTCCGGACCCAACCAGGAGATAGAACTTCGCCCGGCGTCCATGAAATTGCTGCAGAAAGGAAGGAAACACGATTAATAAACTAACTTCCGCCGTGAGCAAATCTGAGAAAATACGGGATGCTCCACTCACGCGTATAGTTCTATTCTTCAGGGAATGGCATAAGTTCAACTGGGGTAACGTCAGCCGTCCAGACTCAGACGAACCGACTAACCCACTCCCGATCTTCGTGTTCCTTATCATCAACAACAAAAGGCGTGGACAAACGGCACTGCAAGATTAGCAGACCTCAGTGGTGAAAGGGTACAGCCTGACGAGATGACTGAGCGTGAATTCAATCCCCGGCTTCTCTGCAAAAAACCTCATCCTCAACACTATTCGCCAAAACGACGGGTGTATCTGCGCCAAGATAACCCGATACTTTACACAGAAGTCGAGCACGACCCTGTCGAGAGGTCCCAGTGTGAAAGGATATGTGTATACATTCAGGAATCCATCGGCAGGGTCAGCGATACCCTCGTCCGGGGAAAGCACCTGTAGCGCTACCTCGTCCCCCATCCGCAGTCTCTCCTCACTAACTCAAGATGCTCCTCTTTGATCGAAGACATAGCCTTCAAAGTAAACTCCCGCGGGTCCCGAACGCTAGGAGCGGAACTCTCCTCTCTCTGCCGGGCAAACCCCGAAGTAGCAGTCATGGCTATGGCAGTGCTGGAAGAGCAAAAGCGGGATCACAAACACTTTGATGCTAAGGTAACGAAGGACTCGGCGCAGAAATGGAAGGATAGCTTTCTAGAAAAGTGGGATCTCCCAAGAAGCGGAAGCAACCCCATATATATGTGGAAACAACAACGGTCCGCCTGCCCAAGATAGGCCCCGGGAGGCCAATAACTTTGATGCGAATCCCGAGGTGGTACCCGACCTCGAGGACTGCCATCAAGCAGAAGTTAGGCTTTAAGAAGCCGATCTCCAGTCCCGAGGTGGTACCCGACCTCGAGGACCTCCATCGAAAAGAAGTTAGGCTTTAAGAAGCCAACGGCACCATCTCCAGTCCCGAGGTGGTACCCAACCTCGAGGACCCCCATCGAAAAGAAGTTAGGCTTTAAGAAGCCAACGTCACCATCTCCAGTCCCCGAGGTAATGCCCGACCTCGAGGACCTCCATCGAAAAGAAGTTAGGCCTTAAGAAGCCAACAACGCTATCTCCAGCCCCGAGGTGGTATCCGACCTCGAGAACCTCCATCAACAAGAAGTTAGGCTCCAGGAAGCCCTCCGCTCCCTTACAGAGCTCAATGGGGTATCCGACCTCAAAGATTCCCCTCAAGAAGGAAAACGAGCATTTCGAGCTCCGCCCATAAAGGCCTGATCTCAGGACACCGCCTAAATCTGGATAAACCCCTCATCTGGGACCTATTTACAACGTCTTAAAAGGTAATCTACGCCGGGCCGGGGGGTGAAGGTGAGCAGCGATTTATAGTACAAATGACTTTCTAAAAGTCGGAGGAAGACGGCCCCCCATGCATCATCATCTCGAGTCAGCAACAGCAGCAATAGCAGCCGTAATAACATCAGCAGCGGCACCGAGACGGAATAATCCCGCTCGACAAAAGGAAGCTCAGGCAGGAGGCCACCACACAGCTGATAAAAATGCTGCCATATGACCTTAAGGCCATGAACCTCAAACATGGTGGTAAAGAGGAAGATGGCGAGAAGAAAGTGGTGAACGAACAGAGAAGGGCGTTTAGATATAAAAATAGCGCCAGCGCCATCGATACTCTGAAAGACGGATCGACAGGCACAATCAATGCGTTCTTGAAAACTGAGTCGACGGCGCTACTGTCACTTTGAAGAATGGGAATCGACAGTGCATTGAATGGCACCGAAAAGACAAGTCCATAGGATGTCCCGGTTACCATAAAGGCTTACGTCGTAGGTTGCGTCACCATTATGACATCGTCGTAGAGAGCCCGGAGAGTCGGGCGTCAAAATCGTTTCATATCGCTTTGTTCTAGGAAACGCGGAGACTATCTGTATACGGCAAAATCGGAGGGTCCAATTTTCCGTCATCGAGGCATTTCGGAAGATCACCTCGAAGCCTCGAGGTTGCAAAGATACGGTCGAGTCTTCTTCTTCGGAGCTCGTCGGCATCCGGTCTGAAGAATAGCGGTTGGGACTAGGATAAAAATGGGGAGTCCCCAAGAAGCGGCTAAGTCTGAAAAGCCTACTACTCTGAACCCTAATCGGGGTATCACATCTAGCTGTCCCATCTCCATACCTTTACAACTAATGTATGTCTTACCATATAAGCTTCCCCCCTTCTATATAAGGGGGATCTTCATTATTTCATAGAGGATTGATGTTGCTCCAACTATTCTACACAAGATAAATAGTAACTCTCTCTCTCTTTTTTCTCTCTAACATACTCTCTCGATATTGTTGCTTTATTTTGTTATCTTCATACTTGTTCTTCATTTATTGCTTATCATTGGCCATAAAGAGCCTCCTTTAATATTATCGTATCTGTTAGCCCTTCCCCGACTGCCCCGATAGCTCGAGCCCGAGCTCGGGAACCGACCTCGAGGCCCTAAATCGACTAGCTCGAGGCCCCGCACGGCCATCTTTCGGTTCGATTACGATTCCATTTTAGCTTGCATCTCATCCTTAAACTTCGCACACATAGCATCAACTGCTCCACAACTAGCATAAAAATAGATCACGTATTTTTAGGGTCTCATCAACAAATTTAATTGTTATTACCATTTTCACGGTAAACAAAATGATTGCTTGAAATGTTTGATTGCTTGCCACCCCCCTCCCCCCCCCCCCTAATAATGCTTTTAAACAAAAAACAAAGTTACATGACTTGACCTAACTAAGCTAGAAACAACAACAACAACCCAATGTGGTCCCACAAGTGGGGTTTGGGGAGAGTAGGATGTACGCAGCCTTACCCCTACCCTGGAAGGGCAGAGAGACTGTTTCCGATAGACCCTCGGCTAAAGAAGTGAGAGAAGTCCTGGTAGCAAGTAATTAACTAAGCTAGAAAAACACACTAAATGAAAATGAAGTAAAACTACTCTATAATTACTATGAAAAGGACTTGGTTTACAGCAACGTAGGAACAAGTCCGTTGGCAGCAGCTTTGTCTTTCGGGTCAGGGTCTGCGCGCGTGGTGCTGTTGGCGCGCGCGACACTTGTTGTATTTGCCTGCGGCTGGTGCTTGGCATCAGGTCTGTGCACGAGGCGCTGTTGGAATGTGCCTGCAGCTGGGCGCAGGCGAGGCATCAGGATCTGCGCGCGGTGTGCTGTTGGCATCAACTTGATTTGTGCACGCGACATTGTTGGCATCTTCCAGCCGCTGGGCACTGGCGAGGGATATCGGTGGGGCGGAAGAGGCACATGCGCGCTTGTCACTTGGCGCTGCCGAGACCACGGGGACGACCATGGCGCTAGGCATTGGGAGGCTTGCTAGGGCGTTATGGGGCGCGCCCAAGGGGTCATGGGGCGTGGTTGGAGAGCAGCCCATGACAGTACTCTCGTATTTTATTGGTCTTTTAGGTTTCTATTCTTTTACTTGTTGTTTCTTTCATTCCGATCAGCTTACGATCTTGTTGTTATTAATGCTTCTTTTCCATGGCTTTTCACTTTCTTTCGGGCCATGTTTCTTTTCATTACTGTTGTGCTTATGCTTTACTGAGTCGAGGGTATATTGGAAACAACCTCTCTATCTGCACAAGGTAGGGATAAAGTCTGCATACATACTACCTTTCCCAGGTCCCACTACGTGGGTTTATACCGGATATTATGTTGTTTGAGTATTTGCTTGTGGATATCTATTATCATGAATTGCTTGTCTCTGAGGTGTTTGCTTGTTGGAAATATGCCTAAACTGCTTTATTACTTCCCCATAAAGAAGTTTATTTACTTGCGGAAATATGCTGAAGGTGCTTTATTACTTACCCATTAAGAAGTGGGAATACTGGAGGTGGTTGATTAACTTCTTGTCTATGGAAGACTACTAGGCAATTCTGTTTTCACTGTTAAGCTCTGACATTTTTTTTTTTATCTTTCTTTTAAAAAAAAACAGATGTCAGAAAGCTGGAGTTACCCCCCGCTCAATGATACTTCTACTGCAGCTACTCGTGTCAATGCAGCTCTTGCTGAAAGAGGATGGAAGATTAAAGCATAGAATCCCCTGGTGTATATTGTTGTTGTCACAGTTTTTTTTTTTTTTTTTAATGATGTGTTCAGAGCTGAGGTCATGTATTATGATTGATCTAATCTTATAGGAGGAAAAAGAAATAATTGTCAGATAAAATCAGAGTTGAACAATGAGGCTCCTATTCTTTTACCCATTGAGGGTTTTTGGCACATATTGACAAAATAAAACGTCAATCTTTATATGTAAAGCAGAAGCAATGGATGGCTTGGAGGAATGTTTTGTTTCACGGTTTGGTTTCCTCAAGTCATAAAAGATCAAAATTTAACAAGTTCAAATATTATTCTGCTTTGTTGTAACTTTCCACAATATATTTTTTTGTTCACGCACGGATGTCACTCTGTATTTGTCTGTGTGTAGATATAGAATTTTTCCGTAGTTCACATGGGATTCCAAGCCTCTTAACTGTTGACATTCTGTGTGTAATCCGCGTGCAAAATTTGCACATTCGTTGTGGATCTGCTACGTACAATAGGGGAGAGTTGAATTTTGCAGTCTTTCTTAGTTGGTTATGCAAATCAAGCTGCATCAAACGCTTTGTGTTCGTTAACTGCTCCACTCCACAATCCCTATACAAGAAGTAATATAAGTTGTTTCTTCTCATGTCAATATGATAAAAAAAATATTTTAAAACATCGTTAGAAGTTAACATAGTATTAATCTCAAAAAGCGATAAGTCGAACATATGAAGTATTATAAAATACACGTACATGCTGGTGGTGCATGCATTCTTCCGTCGTATATAATGTGTAGGTGTTGGTGTTTGGTATTCTCTGTTGAGAAAGAGAAAAATACTAGAGTAGGATCAAACTTCAAATGGACCAGATTATCAAGTCTATACGATCTGTTGGTCAACGAGTAGCATTCCGTACTAGTCTCTGTCTTCAGCTTAGAAACGATAATGGGTGTTTAACGAGCCGGGTTGACCTGTTTCTGGACCGGCCCGGCCGGGTGATAGGGGTGTGTAGGCTGGGTTTGGGGGTTAGGAGGTTGGGACGTTTACATTTTTCAACCGGTACCGGATCGGTCAAATCGGGTTACTGTTGAACCGGTTCAACGGCTATTTTTTAAATCTTTTTTTTTGAAAAAAAAACCATTTGAGCGTTAGCAACGGTCAGCTTCCAATTTGACCGTCGGCCAACGGATATATTACAATAATAGCCTTTTTTTGGGGCAATTTTCTAAAAAATAACACTTTAGGTAATTACTAATTTAGTCATTGGCTTCCTTGTTATTTACATTTTTCCAAGTCAAACCAATAAGTGAGTATAGTGCCTAATGAAACCTCTAGTTTCTTTCAATATAATCTATTCCAATATATTAATTTTGGCTTTTGGTACACAATGAAGAAAGCTATTCGCATGAAGCTATCAACCAAATCAAAATTTAAAATATGCTTTAACTTTGATCCAACTTGCAAATCGCTAAGTTTTTCATGTAACAGAGAGTGTGCTGGATCAGTTGAAGCCAGTGGAAAAGTCTGTGATGACTATTCATTTATGTAATAAAAAATTGTTTGCTCTTTTTGGGCAGTCTGGCAAGAACTTAGATAACTGGAAAGCAAATACAGTAAAACCAAAACAAATATGCCAGAAAAATAAAAACAGGCGAATCGCTTCAATTAATGCGTAAAATTACACCTGATACACAGATATATCGCATATGAAATAAAATCGGCAAATATACCACATGTGTAATTCCACTCATGCTGACTTTTTTTTTAATATGGACTAAGAGGCTGACTTCTTTTTCACTCATAGAATTGAATCTCACAATGCGTTTGCCTTTCCAAGTAAAAGCATACGGATTGCATGTGAAAATTACATCTGATACGGAGGATATTGCATATGAAATATAATCGAAAAATATGCCACATGTGTAATGCCACTCAGAGGCTGACTTCTTTTTCATTCATAGAATTGAATCTGACCATGAGTCTGCCTTTCCAAGCTCTGCATTATGGGTTCTCGCAATACATATTAAATGACATCTGAACCATATTGTCGGAGCTCGTCATCCCCTAAAAGCTTTCTTCAAGATCATGCTCATGAGCCCTCACCATATGAAACCTCTGAAACACGCTGAAGAATGCACTGTACTGAGATTCATATAAAGTTAGAAGTATTACTTAGCTATATTAAAATTGATGTACAATTGTCTTGAAATGTCATAATAACTCCAACGATGGAGAAAGTACTAACCTTGCATCCATAGTAGCAGCATTCAGCTCCATATCCTTTGTATTTTCTTTATTACACAATCTACGAACCAAAATAACAACTGTAAAGAAGATCCAAACAGGACTAACCATGAAAACATAAAACTTACAAAATCCTTCCCCATACTACCGCTTGTCTTCTTTTGCTCCCATGCTTTTCTTGTTTCTACTTTAATAACTTCATCCCTCTTCTCACATTCAGCAATTCATGCTTTTCTTGTTTCTACTTAGATAACTTCATCCCTCATCTCGCATTCAACAATTCATGCTTTTCTTGGTTCTACTAAAATAACTTCATCCCTCTTCTCACATTCAGCAATTCTATTTCCTGCTTTTTATCAATAAAATCAGACCAATACTCTTCCAAGACTTCCCCCTTTACACTTTCTATTTCTTTAACTTCTCCAAAGCTCACATGTAATTTTAGGTTTTCCATCTTAAACCTAATTGTTTCCTTTTTCCCTTGTTATTTATCACATCAAACACCTTCTCGACTTCACTATCAACAATTCAGAATATAAAAATACATGAAAAACCAACCAAACAGAAGGGGATATTTACCTCTAGCGAGCAGTAGTGCTAAAGTTTCAGCAGTGGTACATTACTTACTAACCTTTATCCTACTCAAACCTTTTCACTTTTATTAGATCTAGCTAGTTGAACTCAAAAAATTGAACAAAATAAATGTTCTATATCATAAACAAACTGATCCATCCATAAAGACTACTACTTATCAAAGGACTACAACTTGGGCAAGATAAAAGCAAAACATGCCCATATCATTCCATCGCTTGCATACACTGAGTTAGATACTCGATATCATGTCTTACTGAAATAACAGATTCATACCATAGTGACATACCTATAATATGTGAATCAATTTAAGAAATAATTAACATACACAATTTTGAATATGAAGCAGTCTTGAAGGTTCAAAAAAACCAACCAGATAGGATACCATCAGATATATGCGAAGAAGGTTCTATATACCACCATTATCTAAAAAAGAAGGTTCTACCTACCACAACAACAAATATTACAATGGAAATAAAAATAAATTTCAGTAAATTAGAGTGATAGTACAGATGTTTACCTCAAAAATAGTCTATCTTTAGCATGTGAATAAAAAGGCAGCCTGGTGCACTAAGCTCCCGCTATATGCGGAGTCCGGGGAAGGGCCGGAACACAAGTGTCTTCAATATGTGAATGAACTTCACAAATATGTGGGGCAACACTGCAGGTGTTAAAACCAAAAGATCTGAACCACCTCCTTTAGGCATATTTTATTAGCGGATGGACATCACCTTTGTTTACACACAAAAAAGACATTGTTTACCAGAAAAGAATGCTTACTTTGTTGAAGTCGCTGCTCTGATAAGCCTTCTCCATTTCCATGCCTAATTCCGCCAAACGTCAGAACCAATCTCACTCAATTGAATAAGGTAAATTAAAACCTTGTTAAAGTAGAGCCTTTCTGCAATATTTTAGGTAACCTCTTTCAGGTAGTAATATAGGCAACATTTGTTATCTATACATCATTTCGTTTCACCTACTTCCTGTGCTTCTTCTCTTTTTCGCTTTTCTAAGGCCTTACCTACAGCTGCACCATTCAAGGAAATAAGAGACAAAGGGGGAAAACAAAAACTTAGATAAAGATCAGAAGGTGAAAATTCGACCACGCACACACATGCATTATGGGTCGATGTAATCATGAAAAGAATGGTTCGATGAGATATCTTTGGACTCAGATAGAGAAGATGATCGACCCTGTGACGGAGTTTTCGGGGCCAAAAGTTGGTTTAGGGGAAGGTTTTGTTTGGGAGAATTTAAACGAAAATAGAGAAGGGGTTTTAAATCAAACATTGCAAAACTAAAAGGAAATTGAGGAAGAAAATTCTTCAGATAACATAAAAAAGCGCAGAGGAAATAAATTAGGGTATTACCTGGTGAAGTTGTTTTTCGTAAGTAGAGAGATTCGAAGCGAATTGTTCAACTCCAACTTCATCTCCTCCGCTTTGCATTTTTTAAAATCAAACTACTTAAGATTCCAACAAAACTAACCAAATATTTCTGGATTTCCGATGACGAATTCGAGTTCCAGGTGTGCGTCAGAGAAAGAGAGTAGAAGAAATTGTCGAAGAATGTGACTTCTCAATAGAGGAAGCGACTGTTCAACAGGGAAAACAACTTTTGGGTATGTCTTTTAAACTGTTACGGTAAATCCAATTTTTGAAGGCAAATAAATGAGAAAATAGATAAATAGTCGTTCCTGCCTTACATAATGCCACATCACCTCTCTTAGGTCCCTCAACTATAATTATATATAGATTGGTTACTCGTGCCACCCGTTACACTTTTCGGCTATTTTTGTCCTTGCTGTTAATGAATTCTGAAAAAATACCCCTAACGCTAACGTTTTGGCACTGTGACAGCTGACCACATCAATTTTATTCATGTTCGCTGCCATGTCAACTGCCAAGTCATTAATTAACCCACTCCTTTTCTTATTAAAATATTATCATCTTCTTGTCCCTCACACTCCCTCGCCTTCCAACTTTACCAATAACCATTATCCCCATCCAAAAACTACTGTCCTCGCACTCTATGATCGTTTAGAAACACCAAACAAAGAACCAATTTACTCTTAAGGCAGCAAATGCTTAACCTAAGAAACAGAAAAAATATAAATTAATAGAAAACAATAATAGCTTGTACCATAATTTTACTTTTCATAACCTTGATCGCATAGAAACAGTATAATAATTTGGTGTTGTATGGAACCCGACATGGCAGCTGCCAAATTTTTTTTCGATAATAACTATTTGGAATCGAAACTTAGGTTCTAACCATGTCTTTGTTGTGTTCCTTCTCGTGATTTGGAGCTTGTTTACACAGAGTTGGTAAGTCCAAAATTGAACTTTTGTTATATGTTCTGCTTTTTTATTTTCAACAATGTTAAAATCTTTTGTTTTTTCCAAAAATATAAGATAAGTTTTGATCTTTATGGTCCTTTAATGGTAAAGATTTGTATTTTTTTAATAGGAGGATATGGCTGTAGCAAATGGATTCTAAGGTGATGGATTGTGCGTGAGATATTATATACAGAAATATACTATATATTAGTATGGATGTTGTAGTTTTAAATCTAAAATGTGATTTTAAACACTGTCGAAGGTCTCAAAACGCCATTGAAGGCCGATTGGCTTTTGGGTTTTGTCCATTTGAAGATGCCGATCTATAAAGAAGAAGAGGTTGGATCTAAAATTTGAAGAGCTGACATCGTTTCATAGCTTAAAATCCTGATTGTGAACTACTTGATTACTTGAAACGTTAGAGAAGGAGCTAAAAACTCCATTGGAGGGTTTTTTGGTGAAGCTTGAAAACATTAATGGTGTCACGACCCCAACCCCGGTCGTGATGGCGTCCAACACAATGCTAGGCAAGCCCGACCAATTACATAACCCTGACCATTTTTACCACTCATGAATTTATTTAACACAGGTAAATTACTAAGTCATAATACTGAATATCTGAAATAAAGTGCAAACATGCGGAAATCCCCAAGTATAAATACTACTACGCAGCCCGAGAATCCGGTGTCACCAGTCTGAGCCTCTAACATACGAGTGTCAACCTACTACATAATAGTCTAAAGAAATACGGAATAAAATAAATATGATAGATGGGAAAATTAGGACTGCGGACGTCATGCAGCTACCTTGATGCTCCTGGATATGATGCTCGGCAGAGAAATCCTCACTCAGCCTCAGTGGGTGCACATAGATCTGCACACAAGGTGCAGGGAGTAATGTGAGTACTTCGAACCCAGAGAGTAATAAACATAAAGGGTTGAGAGTAAGAAATCCTGGATAGGCACAATGTAAGCTATAATTACAGCAGTTTAATCCAGATAATGTCAACTCAATAAACCAATAAAAACAATGATGCTGCAACAGATAAGTAAATGAATGACAATCAATTAAGACATGCAACAAATAGTACGGTACTCTCTAGTACCCGTTGCGGCGTGCAGCCCGCTCCATTTATTTATCGTCGACGGCGCTCACTGGGGGTGTGCAGACTCCGAGAGGGGCCCCTTACGGCCCAAGCGCAATATCAAGCCATCTCGTGGCATCCATTAGGCCCTAAGCCTCATATCAATATCAATATAATACTGCTGCGGCGCGCAGCCCGATCCCATACTCAGTCCAGAATCATATAAGCCCCTCGGGCACAATAATATAGAAATATTCAGCCCAAACTTCATTAGAAATATTATTTAAGTTCCAAGTTTTGAGAAAAAGTGGCTGAGTTTGCAAAACAGTACTAAATACTAGGACTGAGTTCAATTGTCTGAAAATATGGTAAGAAACCAATAAAAATAATCCCTGAAGGATTCAATCAGTTGGCACGAGGCCAAATTATGACAATTAATCCATTTTTATAAGGATCTCACTAAGCTTCAATCANAAAAGACTATGGTATCGGGCTCGTATTTTGGTTCCGACGCCCGGTACAAGTCTTAAATATGTGCTAAGCGCTTTCTGTAAAGTTTGGTCGAAATCGGATGTCATTTGACGTGTTTCGGACCTAAATATCTAAAATTTTAAGTTATGAAGATTGAAATGAAAATCATGATCTTGAGGCTTGATTCGATGGTTTTTGATGTTATTTTGGCGATTTGATCGCTCGAGTAAGTTCGTAGGATATTATTGAGTTAGTGTGTGTGTTTGGTTGGGAGCCCCGAGAGCTCGGGAACGATTCGGAGGTGGTTCGGGGTAATTTTACACCTAGAAAACATAGCAGATTTTCTGCAATTTTTGCACAGCAAATCCCTTCTTCGCGTTCGCGTTCCAAACACGCGTTCGCGAAGCTTCAGTGGTCCCTCTTCATCGCGTTCGCATCCCTCGCCTCGCGTTCGCGTAGAGTCATCTGACCCTGAGGGCTTGGTCCTTTTTCTTCTTCGCGTTCGCGGACACTTGACCGCGTTCGCGTAGCTTGCCAGACTCCCTTCAGCGCGTTCGCGTTTCCCCTATCGCTTTCGCGTATAACAGTTCCTGGACCCTAGCAATTTCCTTCTATGCATTCGCGTCTGTCTCCACGCGATCGCGATAGCTTACCCAGTTTACCCTTCGTGAACGCGGCCCTCTCCCGCGAACGCGAAGGGCAATTTTGCCCAGCGAATTTATAAGTTAAAATCAGAACAATGAACTCGGGATTTTCATAAAAATACACGAACTCCTTTCTTCTCAAGCACTTAGGCGTCCATTGAAGCTCCCTTTCATCAAAACTTCTTGGGTAAGCATTGTTCAACTTGTTTACTTCAATTTCCTCTATTAATTACTAAATTCCTAGCCCTAAATCATGAATTCAAAGTAGAAAATGGGGGTTTTGGGTAGAGTTAGGGCTTTGGGGATTTTGGGTGATTCAACCTCAATTTGGGGTCGAATCTTGAAATAAATTATATATTTGAACTCGTAGGGTTATGGGTGATTGGGTTTTGGTCCGAGCCTCGTGTTTCGACCATGTGGGACCGGTGTCGAATTTTGGTGTTTTTGGAAGAATGATAGGAATTTCACTTCTAGGCTATGGGATTATGTTTTTGAGCCCTTATTGATATTATTGAACTAATTATGCCTAGATATCATTGTTTCGGAGTTGGATTGTAGAGGAAAGGCGGTATTAGAGAGTTGATTGCTATTCTAGGACCGAGGTAAGTGTTTGTTCTAACTTTGGCTTGAGGGAATAGGATTAGGATGTTATTTGCTACTTGCTAAATGTGGAGTATGGTGTATAGGCATGGTGACGGTTGTCTATGCACCGGAGTCTAGCATGATCGTGAGTCTTAATTGCTTTTAATTCGAATGATGCGACACGACTTCCTTGTTTAATTGATAAATTTCATATAATGTGAACGGTTGAGGAAGAATTGTGATTGGTATATTTTGGAGCGTTGGCTCGAACAAGAATGTGATAGTTGAGAAAGAAGTGATTTAAAAGAGGATGTGTTGTGATTTTTCCCTTGCCGGGACGTGTAGACTATTATTATGTACTCTCCCTTGCCGGGATATTTGGGCTGTTAGCTGTACCCTTGCCGGGTTTAAGTGTTGTGTTGTCGAATTCCCCTAATGGGGCCTTCTTTACAAAGTCAGATATTTTGAACCATAATATGGGATCGTGTGGCACGCCGTCCACTTATACTCTATAATATGGGATCGTGTGGCACGCTGTCCACTTATATATATATATATTATGAAATGGGATCGTGTGGCACGCCGTCCACTTATGAATTAAGAAATGGGATCATGTGGCGCGCCGACCACTTATATATATGAGCTATGTTATTGAGATAGTTTCGTCGTTATATCCGTGGATCTGTATTCGCCGTATTTTCCCTGAGCATGCCCCCCTTCCCCTTTTTAGTTGACATTCTCTGTTGTTATTTCTGTTGCCTTGTTATATATATATCTGTACAGGTTGTTTTTGGTAGGTCCTGTCTAGCCTCGTCACTGCTTCGCCGGGGTTAGGCCAGGCACTTACCAGCACATGGGGTCGATTGTGCTGATGCTACACTTCTATGCTTTTTGCACAGATCATAGTACCGGAGCAGGAGCCTTTGGCCAGCAGTAGGAGCGTTGGGAGCTTACTTCAGTCCGGAGATTTTCGAGGTAGCTTGCTGGCACCCGCATGGCCCGGAGTCTCTCTTATCTCTGTCTTTCGTTTGATTTCCCTTGTATCGGATCAGACAGTACTGTATTCTTATTCAGACTTTGTTTTTAGCATTCAGTAGAAGTTCGTGAGTTAGTGACACTAGATCTGGGTAGAGGTGTATTTGAAATTCCGCACTAGGTTTCTGTTATTTATGTTTCGAGACTTCCGCTTTTATATTAATTGCCTCGTTCTTCTTTATACTGATAATGATGTTGAGAGAAATGTTAAACTAATTGGCTTGCCTAGCTCCTATTAGCAGGCGCCATCACGACTCCCGAGGGTGGGAAATCCGGGTCGTGACAAGTTGGTATCAGAGCACTAGGTTACATAGGTCTCACAACTCACGGACAACCTCGGTAGAGTCTGAGGGATCGGTACGGAGACGTCTGTATTTATCCCCCAGAGGCTACGGAGTTAGGAAAAGTTTCACTTTTGTTCTTTCCTGTCGTGCGATTCTGTTTCTCAAATACTGATTGTCTTTCTACTCTGTTCTTTCGC